ATAACTTTTAGAAATGTAATACAAATGAAATGAAATGAAATAAGTTTAACGTCCTACTGTTCTGCACCGACTGAGCTAATAAAGACGGGCATGTTCCATATAGTGTGCTATGAGGGAATTTTGTCCGGGCGGCGGCACTATGACCTACTCAAGATATATAATACAGGTGTTTTTTGTGTAGGTCTTGATTTTTTTTTATTTTTTTTTTTTTTTTGGAGGGGGGGGGGCATCTAATTTATTATTTTGCCGTGATAAAATTAAACTGGTGTTTTCTCCAAGATCTGAATAGAAAGGCAAGATTTTATCATCATATTTGCAATAGATATATTTATGCACCAGCTAAATAAGTTGAATCTTTGAATTTCTTGAATAAGAAAGGCCTGTCTTATCGCACTAATAAAAGATAAATAAATCAAATAAATAGAAAAAAAGAAGAAAAACAACAAGAAATTATTTAAAATTCAATCATTGAAAAATCTAAAACTATAAATTAACCCACAAAAATACTTGACAGCAAATATTTAAAAATCTAAAACTATGAATTAATTTACCCACAATTTTTTTTTTTACCCGACAGCAAGTGAGTCAGAAAAAGAGTGACGCATTTTTTCCATCCACCGCAACCAGGTGGTGTGCGCATGACTCAAACTTACGTGTTTTACTGGATCACGTGTTAAAAATATTGTGTATTACGTCACATTCCATGTGCCAAAGCGGGATTCACCTATTCGTCATTGTTGAAGGGGGGTATCTCCGCCGCTGGTGGCGCTAGTTGAGGGGTATTTACATTATTTACAATTATTTAAAATTTTTACAAATCTGATAATTCAAGAATAATACCCCTGTGACAGGCGCAAAAAATGTTCAACTCTTTTTTAAAAACATTTTAGTCTTGTATTTGCGCCATTTCGATTTAAAGGTGAAAAGGATGTAAAATTAAGCCTTTTCACATTGTGACAAGGAAGGCTGTCTAGTCGTTCGGATGGGACGAAAAACCGAGGTCCCGTGTACACATTGGCGTGCACGTAAAAGATCTCTTGGCAGTTGGAATTCGATATAAGAGTAGGCTGTAGTGCCGCTGTCCGGGCAAAATTTCCCTCATAGCACACTGTATGGCGTATGCCCGTCTTCATTATCCCAGTTTAGGAGCAGAACAGTAGGACGTTAAACTCCATTTCATTTCATTTCATTTCTTTTCATATTGTAAAATATTTCTATGTAATGTTTATAAACTTGTAGCATATATCTATTCTAAGACAGTCTATGCCAAAATTAGTTTGCAATCTGAGCAGTTGCGAGAAATGGGCAATTTTGCATGAGTCCCTTTCCAAGTTATTTTGCCTGTAAATGTGGACGTATATTGCAGTTCCCACTGTCTGTGTGTGTGTGTGTGTGTCTGTGTGACTGTGTGTCTGTGCCCGACCCCTAGGGGCAGAGCCACGCCCATTTTTTGTTTTTGTTTGTTTGTCGTCTACAGGCCGCATTTCTTAACATATCATCTTGAAACTTTGCATACTTATTCTTTGTACCCTAAGGGACAGTCCTATCGTTTGGGGTGCATGCCCAGTCCCCAGGGACAGAGCCACGCCCATTTTCTTCTTGTATGTCTGTGTGTCACCTACATGTCACACTTCTTAATGAATCGTGTTGATAAATTTTCATATGAATTCCTTATACCCTAAGGATGATCCCTATTGTTTTTGGCGCATGTCCGATCCCCAGGGGCAGAGCCACGCCCATTTCGTATATTTATTTATTTATTTGTCGTCTACAGGCCGCATTTCTTAACGTATCATCTTGAAACTTTGCATACTTATTCTTTGTACCCTAAGGAACATCCCAATCGTTTAGGGGGCATGCCCATCCCCCATGGACAGAGCCACGCCCATTTTCTTTTTGTGTGTCGCCTACAGGCCATAATTCTTGATCGATCGTCTTGAAAAAATTTCATATGAATTCCTTAAACCCTAAGGATGATCCCTATTGTTTTTGGTGCATGCCCGACCCCCAGTGGCAGAGCCACGCCCAATTCTTGTATTTATTTGTTTGTCATCTACAGACCGCATTTCTTAACGTATCACCTTGAAACTTTGCATACTTATTCCTTCTATACTAAGGAACATCCCTATTGTTTGTGGTGAATGCCCAACCTCCAGGGACAGAGCCACGCCCATTTTCTTTTTGTGTGTCTGTATGTCACTTACAGCCTGCAATGCTTAATCGATCGTCTTGAAAACTTGTTTATACTTATGGGACGACCAATGTTTGTGTGCCTTTTGTGTCGCCTACTGGCCGCAATTCTTAACAGATCCTTTTGAAACTTTGCATACCTATTTCTTATACCCTAATTTCAATAACAGGGTGGTACCTATTTATATTGTTTCATATCCAACCCCCACAGACAGAGCCACACCCACTGAAATAGACGATTTTCTGCAAGTCACTTTTAATGGTTTTTGGTCCATGAAATTGTCAATTATTATTTGATGCCTAATTCCAATTGTGATTTCATAAAACCAATTTACAAAATTTATTTTTACCGAAAGTGACAGCATTCCGACAAAAACTGTATGTTTAGCCTTCAAAACAAATATCTTCTTCAAATGAGTGTTATTCAATATTCATTTAAATTCATCCAACATATAGAATTATTTAATACGATGCTATAGTTACCTAAAAATTGCTTCTAACTTCTTCCGTTACTGAGAAGTAACCAATTTTGTCATGCTCACTTTTAAAGATTTTTTTTCGCATTTTAATTTCCCCATTAGAAAGTCTCATCAGCTAACTTACCGGTAATTTAGTAACCAATTTTGTCAGGATCACTATTTTGACATATGTAACACATGGTGACAAATGGATAAATCTAACTGATATTGCGGGATTTAGTTGATTCTGCTTCTGTTTTATAACACGTGTGCAATGCTTATGTGGAAATGTGTTCAACGGTTACTTAAGTTACTTAAGTTCATTGGTTACGTGACACCGGAAGTGACATAAGTTCAAGGATAACGTGGCACCGGTCAAACCCGTCATTACTGCATCGCAGTTCTAGTTTTTTTTTGTTTTTTTTTTATTTCTAGCAAAAGTCACGTACCCATTATCAGTAGACCCCTGGGGGTGAGACACAGACAGGTAAAGTTATGTTTTATGTGATCTGAAGGGGAGATTAGCAGACGATTAGATCTGGCCGATTAGATCACAGAATGTCATCTTGCTAGGTCTAATAAGGCAGGAGTACCCTAATCGTATCCTCAAATTGGATTTTCTCTTAATCATTAAAATGACAAAATGGTTGCAATCTTACATTTTCCCCCCATATTGACTAATTGGTATCTCTAATCACTGGATTCATCTGCCCCGAAAACGTGTATTTTGATACCGAACTCTTATCATATTATGTACATTGGTGAAACCGGCGGCATTTTGGATTTGCGCCAATTCGACCCATTTGAACACGAATTTTGGAACGGGACTTTTTGGTGATATTGTCTCGTCTGGAATCTTTTTTAAATTTCAATTATGCTGAGTTTTTCATTGCACTTTTTTGGGGATCGTTAGCTATGTTTTTCTTCACATTTCACATTGTCCCATAACTCAATTCTTGAATATAATATCAATGCTTTTATTGTCGGTTGTCGGGGGGGGGGGGAGGGGCATCGTGGCTAAGTGGGAAAGACCCTGGCTCGCAAGCCTGGAGGTCGGGTGTTCTATCTCTGCATTGGACGAGAAAGTTCATCACGATTGGGCCTGACAAGGACAGCTGTCTAGTCATTCGGATGGGACGAAAATCTGAGGTCCCGTGTACACATTGGCGTGTACGTGAAATGAAATGAAATGTAGTTTTATGGCACGTCAGCTCCAACAGGGCTATATTGCGCCAAACATATGGTGAAAAACGTAAAATATCCCTCGACAGTTGTAATTCGATATAAGAGTAGGCCGTAGTGCCGCTTGCCGGGCGAAATTTCCGCCATAGCACACTGTATGGCGTACGCCTATGCCCGTCTTCATTAGCCAAGTTCGGAGCAGAACAGTAGGACGTTAAACCCCATTACATTTCATTTCATTTCATTTTTATTGTCGACTTCGTTCTGCCCATTGAGTAATGGCAAACACAAAAGGCTTGAAAAGGTGATATTTTGTCTTAACCAGGCCCCGAGTTCACAAAGCATTCTCAGACTGAAGTTAAGAATTTACTCAACGTTCATTCACTGATGTATTTGATACATTAAAACAACAGAAGTTTTATAAAGGGCTATATTTTAGTTAAAATAAGGCGAATATATTGAGTAAATTCTTAACTTAAGTCTGAGAATGTTTTGTGAACTCGGCGCCAGTTTCCTGAACTGTGAATCCCGTCAAATATTTCCCATTAAAAAGTACAACTGTTGGCCAAAGAAACTTGTAATATGTCTGTCAACATTACCGATTCCTTGTCGATGGCAAGTCGAGTTTTCAATATCACCTGCCACATATAATGAATAGGTCTTGCTGGCTTTATAATCTCATTAAACTGTTAAGGCTTTATTTGTCAAGCAGGCATTTAATGAAAACGTTGGAAATTTGATCCAGTTACCCGATTTGGGGTTTCTTGATGTCCGACTGACAGACATCGGTCCTTATAAATTTGCTAGCCTTTATAAGGACAACGATAAGGAAAAATTGACGATGTCCACAATAGTAATTCTTTGTGCAAATAATTGATACGCTGAATATAATATGACAACAGGGCCGATAAAACGGGAGAGGCTGCCCTCTCCTCCCACCCCCACCCCTTAATAATTTGCAAATATGCGTTCATTTGTTAAAAATTGTCCCGGGGACAAGCCTTCGGAAACCCAGTTTGGATCGCTACTATGACAGCCCCCCACCACCGACACACACAGTCCCTTTCGTTTCGGCGAGGTTGGACAAGATTTTATTGTTAGGACGACTAGCCGCTTTGATTATAAAAACATACAAGTAGAAACCTTTTTTAAAATGTTTGTATTCGTGGACTTAAATGTTCAAGTGTTCTTGTCTAAGAGCTTTATTTGACAGATTTTATAAATTAACAATACAATCAATATGGTACGTATGGTAATTACAAAAAGTGTGAATTTAGCACGTCATCTTGTTTGGTGAAAATCTGCACAGTGCAACATTGTTTGCATTAATAATTTAGTACTTATATTTTCAGATATTATTTAGTACCGGGTGGTAGTGTAAAATTTGGGCAAATTTGACGTCTGAAATCCTTATTATGATTATTAATGGTCCAAATTAGTATTTGTGATCTATATAATAAATCGGAATTTTCTAAGATGGGCTTGATGGATTTCTTCAAAAGCGCCTACTCATTTTCATCTCTTTCTTTTCTCAACCTGAAATATAGAAAATCATATATTAGTAGTGTTTAACACGCGAAATTAATAAAGTTTATTAGAAAGCCCGGGTCGTGACGGTTCTTGCACATTAATTAAAGCAATAGTATATTTAAAGGCCAAGTGACTAAGACCAAGATCAAGATGACACTCAAATTTATCACGATTTTCATTTGTATGAAAAATTCGCGGAATAGGCTATCTTCAAACTAGAGAAATTTCCGGATGATGTTCGTGTGTGGATGTGCCTAAACAAATAAAACTAAATGGTGACAAAACCGAAATTCTTATCATAACCCCACCGTCTAAATTACAGAACCTAAAGGTGATACCAAAACTACGAATGGGTTCTAGTCTCATTCATCAAATCTGCAACTCCCAAAATAAACAATATTTTCAAGAGCAAATCAGTCTGCGTAAGAAATATTACGTCCTTAGTTATTTCCCAACTTGACTATGCAAATGTTCTTCTAGGGGGAGCACTAATATTCTCTCTGAATATTTTGCAAGTTGCACAAAATAGCGCTACTAGACTAATGTCTAAAACACCGAGACATCAGTGAGAAACTAAAGGAATTGCATTGGATGCTAGTTAGAGCGCGAATTGAATATACCATCCTTACAGCTGTATACAAAAGTCTCTCCTCTATATCCCCAGCTATATAAAACAAATGTTTACACTGTATAGTGATACGTCGCAACCTCAGATCCTCAAACGATAAACATTACTATCTGTACCGAAATATAATCAGTTTCCGGTTAATGGTGCAATTGTGCATATTATATATGCAAGCTTATTTAGGGTTTCACACTGCGTAGCTTGTGTGAAACACTATTGTTTTTGTTAAGATTATTATTCTTCTTATTATTAGGCTTTCAAACTTTGCCTATTGAGATTACTAATATTATTATTATTAGGCTTTCAGACTTTGTCTGAAAGACTATTGTTTTTATTAAAATTATTATTTTACTAAAATTATTATTATTATTATTAAGCTTTCATATTTCATATGTATTTCATATGAAAGCTTATTGTTTCTGTTAAGATTATTAAGCTATCATATTTCATATGAAAGCTTATTGTTTCTGTTAAGATTATTAAGCTTTCATATGTATTACATATGAAAGCTTATTGTTTCTGTTAAGATTATTATTATTAAGCTTTCATATGTATAACATATGAAAGCTTATTGTTTCTGTTAAGATTATTAGTAAGCTTTCATATGTATTACATATGAAAGCTTATTGTTTCTGTTAAGATTATTAAGCTTTCATATCTATTACATATGAAAGCTTATTGTTTCTGTTAAGATTATTAAGCTTTCATATGTATTACATACGAAAGCTTATTGTTTCGGTTAAGATTATTATTATTATTTTTTTTTTGTGTGTTTTTCCTGCAAATCTTATATCTCAGAATCTAACCGTGGGATCTTTCTGAAACTTTGACCTACCCCCCCAAGAATGGGTGGTGGTTTTGGAATAGGCATGTTTCAAAACGTTTTACACATCCGAAATCACCGAATTTTACGAACGAATGCATTTGACCTACATTGCTGTAACTTTGTGACTTTTTGACCTATTTTACTAAAAAAAAATTCTTTGAGTACCTTAAATCATTTACTTCAAATCTGCAATTTCGGATTTTCGAATTTCAAAAATTCGTCGCTGTGATTTCGAACCGGAAGTTAAAATCAACTTGACAACTTCTTTAATAGTTGCGCGATTTTCATGAAATTCATTATGTAAGTAGATCTTACCGATACAACTTGAAAAATGTCATTAGAAATTTTCTGTATTATCTCCCCTTGATGAAATTAAGGATCAAAGTTTTAAAAAAAATTGACGAAATATAGGTCCGATTGCCTTGAAATTGTATTTCTTTACTAGTTACGACACTACTAATTCGTACACAAAAAATGGAGTTTATAGCCCAAACCGGAAGTGCCACCATCTTGAAATGTGAAATATTGCTAAGGCTTTTTTGATAATTTACTTACAAACAAGGGGATTATATTTTCCAAATCCTTGAAGGAAAGCCCATAAAATGTAGGCAGTAGAATTTTGATTTAGGTCAACTGATGGACGCCATTTTGAATTGAAAATGAAAAATAGTGAAAAATCCACATTAATGGGCTTGAAAACATACACAATATCGGCTTCCATGAGGGGAAAAAAGTGGAATTTCGCCGTGACACCGGCACCGATTGTCCGAAAACCATGAAATTTGGACACAATACGCCCATTACCACCCCGGACTCTGTGCTTTAACCCCATTTTGATCCCATTAAAAAAAAAGAGTTTTAGCAAAAAAACGATTTTCGGAATTTAATATTGGTTTTAACCCTGTAATATGATACCCATTTCACACGGATCCTATGAGACGGCAGCAAAATATGACATGCTGAAAATCAGGTATTTTCTGATTTGGAGCGTTTTTGGACGCCTGTATCTCGAAAACTGCTCCAAGGATATTTTTTAAACTTTCCCTATCGAGAGTCTCTTCGGTAGTCTTGTGCATGAATCCATCCAATAAGACATTGAAATTTCTGGAAAAGGTAAAATAACGTACTGAAAATCGAAAAAAGTTGAAAAATCGTGAAATTTTGGAAAATGCTCTATTTCTGTATTATTTAAAAAAAAGATTACAAAAAAGTTACATATTCAGATAGCTGACGTAATTACGATTCTAACGATGTATAATATGTATTGAAATATTTAAATTTAATTTTCGATATATTGACATTTTTGCATTTTTGGCACTATTGAACATAGGATTTCCCAGGGGCATTTTATCTGATCAGACAATGTAATATATCATTACATAGCCCTGTGTTACAAAATGACATGTTATGCCCCCTGCCATCTTGACATGTGAAAGTAATTTGAATATCAAATCCACCTGCCGACCCCTATAGATCTTGGTAGCATTATGTAACTTATGTAACTTTAACTTGTTGATGGCATGTCTTATCTTACTTCTTTGTCTGATAAACTATACTGAACGTTAACTGATATGAAACATGATACATTATAGCAGATGCCTAATGAGATTCCTTTGTGTGAGGAAAGGTTTATAAACCCAGATTAAGAAACAAATAGGCAGAGAGGTCCAAGCAGGACACTGGAGCTGGGGCCATGTAATGTAAGTTAGTTTGGAGTTGGCACACGTGCCTAGCCAAGCTAAGGCCATGGCTCACTCAGCATATGTTAGTTATGGAGTCTTTAAGTTTTATACATAATATGTTAGAAGAAGCAGAGAATAAAAGTATTATAAGATGTGAAACTAGTCTTGTCATCTGAACTTGATTAAAGTACAAATACTGTCACATATAAATTGGTGCCGTAGACTAGACCAACGTTTTGAAGTCCTACCACTAGCTAGAAGATCACAGGCCACAGCAATTAGTATTCACAGGTAAGTCTTTTTCTGATCCTACCATGGCCACGGTTAATAACGACATTAGTGCTATGTATTATAATTTAACTGGGAAATCAACAGTTTATCATCACGGGTCATTAAATATCATGGTGTAACTACTAAATTTAATATATTGCCTTTCAAGCTAGCAGTGGAAAATGACTAAAACAAAATTGTATATATATTGTTTGTTTTCCAATGAGTCATGTTGTTTTAAAAGATTATAGATTATAATTGTTTGTTTTTGAACACATATTTTGGCATTCAAAATCGAGAACTAAAATGTTTCGTGCAATTTTTAACTAGAATCGAGTTAACAGTATGGTAATTTGGAATTTAACCCAATAACATTCACAAAGTATTAACGTGTTTCCTCTAAGTTTGTTGTTGTTCTGTCTATATGTGTATATTACCCAAAATATTTAATGGGATTCCCGATATTTACGGGAGAGATTTTTATTTGTGATTACCCCAAAGTTTACTGGGAGAGCCCGATATTTACGGAAGAGATTTTTATTTGTAATGCCCCACGATTTGATGGGATGCCCCGAAAGTTCGGGAGAGATTTTATGTATATTCCTCAAGAGAATTTGAGCCGCGCTGAAAGTAGAAGCGAATGTGAAGTTTTGTTTTGTGTTTTGTTTGAAACTTAGAGAAATAAACCGTTTTTAATTTTGCTAAATGTTTTTAAAAAAAGGTCTTATTCAAGATTTGAGAAATATGTTCAGATCATTCCTTATTCTTTATCTTGAGATAAAACAATATGACACCCTAATTTCAATTGTATCCATGTAAATAATAATGTAAATATCGTTAGATCGTTATCTAAAGTCAGTCTGTTCCACTTGCTAATTCGATTAACTATTAATTAAGTACACTCCATGATATGATAAACAGATGATAAAACTTGGGCGGGTGACAGTTATAATACTCCTCATAGCACATGTCATAACGCACCGTTCCGGCCAGACGGTATGGAAAACGAAAAGACTACCGATCAACAACAATGGTGGCAAATAATGCCAATAATGGGGCTACACTATGCAAGGAAAATATTGACCCCGCGCCATTACCGGAACCTCGAACGGAGGAAGAGGAATTAAAAGAAGAAGAAGGAAATCATTTGTACTCCTCCCTACAGTTAGCCACCAGAATAAAGTAGAGGATAAAGAAGAGGGTAATAATTCGTACCTCTCCCTACAGATGGCTTCAAGGATGGTATTTCGCGCTTCTCGAGTGTGTGCGAACATTAAAATAGTTTACAGTGTTTTTTTTTTGTTTTTTTTATAATTATAAGTAATTTAAATAACTTGCGTGTGTGGACGTTAAAGTAGTCTGTGATATATATGTATATATGTAATTTCATTGACTCGCTGGTGTGACCGATTGTGTGTGTGAACATTAGAATAGCTCTACAGTGTGGTTTTTTTTGTTTATAATTATTAGTGATTAAAATAACTCGCGTGTGTGCAAAACAGAATAGTGTGCGTTATATGCGATTCCAAGAACTCGTGTGTGTGAACATTAAAATTATCTGCGACATAATGTATGAACATTCTAGTATATTTTCAACCAGTGT